GCACTCATCCTTTTATTACAAGACGTTGAAAATGACCAGTACCGAGGTAATAAGTCAACAGCGAGGAAGGAGAACCGGCTATACTAACTCGTTCTTACTACAGAATGACGTGGTTGTGTGAACTGAATCGAAAGCGTTGTCCGGAACTATATCGAAGAAATACTATATCAGTAGTTTGTCTCTCCTCTAGAGCCTTTATCTCACACGTGGAAAAGATGGGTTACTCGAGATGTGCAGGAGTAGCGAGGACGCCAAGCCTGTGTGCGTGTTAAAAAGATCAGTTGAGTTCTAACGCAGAAGTTGATTGTTGACCAGTTTCACGTGGGATTTTACCAAAGGACTTGTTAGAAAGATAAGGCGATACTTAGAGACTTGTTCCTTTTCGCCTTTTTCGAAAATGGGAATGACTTATGTGAGGAGATAGAAGTGAATGATAATTTTGCCAGAGATATATATATATATTACTACAGTCTCGTCGCGAAGAGATCTATGAGCTGATATGCCATTGGCACAATGGGCTCTCATTCACGAGATGTTTAAACCACTAAGCAATTTCTCTACACCTTTAGAATAAACCAGGACTAGAGGTGACTTGACGTGTGTAAGTCGTTTGGAGGCCATTCAGACATAATGAAACTGTTGTTAGGAACTTGTTGAATAGCTTTGAAGCCTTGTCAAAGCCACAGTTACCTTTTGGGCCCTGTTGAGCGACTTTTCGTGTTGTGTGAATCTTGACATTGTGTTTGAGTTTGAAAATTTGTCATCAACGTCCCAAAGTGCTTTTGTGTTCTTACGTAAGCGTCATTGACTGAGCTTGTTTTATCCAGTAGCTTTTCTTCAGCTCGTATTTTACTTTGTCTCTATTCACGTTGAACTGACGAGATTACAGTCGCCTATACTTGTTCATTGGCAAATTTGAAATTAGTCGAATTTCCGCTGAACTGGCAAGGGAGCGTAAATGGCAATGCGTTTGAGGGAAAACTAAACGTATATTAGCCTCTATTTATTGCTTGCATGGTAAGCAGATACTCTGTTTGTTATATTGTAGTAGCTCAATGGCTTAATTGTGAAAAGCATTTCGTAAGGGATATCAATACAATATACTGAGAGGAAAAACACACAAACATATTGTTAAAGGACAAACATTAAACTTTGTGGTGGCTAAAACTTTCAGTTGCAAACTTCTATACATATCGATGTTCTTTAGTTTGTCTTGTTTTCAGGGACTTTGAATTTATGTTCGTTTCGTTGAGGCATTAAGTGGTACGTTTGTTACTTGAAAAGTATCGTGTTTGATGATAGACCTCTGTGTGGCATTTGAAAATCAACTTTAGTTCTTGATTTTTTGTATTATTATAGTTTTTGTCCAGCAGTTAATGGATAAGGAATGCTGTTAAATGTCAGACGGGAAAAAAATTGCAATTCCCAACAACCGGAATTGAATCTCTAATCTTGTAGATTTTTTACTTAGTGAAATCATAGCATTCCAGCTAGTAAATAAGTAAGGTCACTAGTTTTATTCCTGTTCCTGACTCAGGATTTCCTTCTTTTCTTTTAAGATCTTGACTTTGACCGTACTATTCTTGATTTATTTAGGTTAAAATAGACTTGCATCAGGACGAGTGTAAAAAGAGTCTTATATCCAGGGTCGTATCCGCGAAGAGCAAACACGTGCACACCATTAAAACTGTTTAACAGCTTATGGTTTCCTCCTTTCTTGTCCTTAACCATTATTTTCTGTTAAACTTCGAATATGTAGACTCTTGCATTGCTCCAAACTCAACCTTTTCAAAGTCGCCTTTTGGCGACCTGAAATTATACACAGTGGTCGTCCGAATAGAATACTTCACGACGGTTCTGAAATATTTTAAATGGCTGCCTAGCTATCGCAATGGAATTTGGAGTTGCGCGCGATATCTCAAAGCAGGCTTTATACCCTGACAAACAGGGTGAAAGATCTGAATTATGGAGAAAACAAAAAGTAAACAATATTTCGTGCAAATTTTTAGCTAACTTTACCTTTAGAAAGGCCATAAACATTAACCAGTACATACAGCTCGCAACATGAGCGCCGAGCACAGGTCGCCGGATTGGCGACTTTCACTGCAATTTTAGTTGCCAAAAGTTTTTCTTCTCCCCATGGTGACCAAAATAGTGGCAGCTTGGAGCGTGGCCTTGGTTGCATTTATTGATTGTCGAAAACCCTGTGGATCCACCTTGCCGTCCAATAAATTTGGTCAGACAAATGAAGAGAAATTTCGGGTCATGAAATTCAAAGCTATTCGAGGAAGGTTAGAGTGCTAGCTACTAAGTATTTTTCGGTGGAGAGGGGGATTCTACAGGTACAACACAGTTACAATTTAGGATATACGAAAAAGGGCATTGAATTTTGCGTTCTAGTTTGAAGATTAATTTTCTATGTCGGCAATAAATATGAATGTTAATATTGCGTCTAGTCTGTACACCTCTTTCGTGGGAATGAGTGGTCAAACTAAACGACAAGGTGATTTGTTTAAAACGATATAATACTTTGTTGTTTTAAAAATTTAACCTTAGTTTAAAATCACTTGAAACAGCGCTTAATGGTTTCTGAAGTCTTCAGAATCGATTCAGGAACTGTATGTGCCTCCATGTTTGACCATCTTTACTTTTTTCTCATTTTATATGGACAGATACGTGGTACTTCAGTTAACAGAACAACTAACGTTTATTTTTAATGTGCATCTCAACTAGAACTTTGAACTAATGCGTGTGAAAGAATTTAATACCAGACCCAAGAAGCACTTTCGTTTAAAACTATTAAAGGAAATCTAGAGAAACTCAAATCGAAGCCCTTTTCTCGAGTCGTGAGAAACCCGTTTGTTTTCTAACGTCATATTTTACTTGAGTTTTATCATAATGTCCACGCAAAGCAATGTATGAATACGTGCGTGTAAGGTCAACATCGGCTCAAAATTAAAATTCCTGATATAACAATCGGCCCTCACTTTCATCGTGGATCTTTAGGAGCTTTGAACTTAAATGTGTGAAAATAAAACATAGAAACTAGATAATGAGTAGAATGAAATGATGATACCGTTACTGTGTTTTCTGTGAAATACACGAGTACATACTCGAGTTTCGCTTTTGTTAAAGGACATGTAATCTTCAAGGTTTGAGACACTTTTGATAAATTTAACTCCAACAGTTGTAATAAACCGAGGTAATCTTTACAGAGATATAAAGTTGGAAAACTAAGAGTTTCGAGCCGATTGTCAAATGGAGTGTCATTCCCCTCGATCAGTGTAGATGTATTACGTTTGACGTCGTCGGGTGTGTCTGAAAGACGCTTGTTGCGGGTTCCAAAAAGGACAAGCGTACTCTAGTGATTTATTATGGACGCACTATAAAGTTTTGCTCCGTACAAAAAGCTCCCATGCAAGCGTGCGCGTAGCTATGCCCATTAATTGACCTGTTTCACCGGGCCACGATTGAAAAAGCATGGAATCTCCGCATCATCAGATCATCAGAGAGGAGAACTTCAAGTTCGTTGTGTGGTGTGAGTACTCTCGTATACCATACATTAGTATTTGTCAGCCGACCTTAGTTCTTAACAACCATTTGCAACAATAATCCTGCGATTCGTTGAAGGCTTTCTTGAACAATGTCAGGTATTGTGCAAAGAGGAACAGGATTGATTACTAGAGTATCGTATCGTTCGATTACAAGACATTAAAAATGACCAGTGCCTAGGTAATTAGCACTTGTCAAAACTTGGACTGTAAATTTTGCGTCAAAAAAAAAATTGTCTCATTTTAATAGAATGAACAGACTCGACCGCGTCAGCTCGTATTGGTAAATTTTATAGCTTGTTTGCCCCATGAAATAACAAGTGACATTGTTTTTATCCCATCAATCCTAAAGCGCGTACAAAGATGGAGAGTATCGTGAATTATTATTAAGTCTGGGTATCCTGTGCAAATCAGACTTTTGACTGACATTCGAAGAGACGGGTCTTTATTTCTTTTATTATTATTCTGTATTATTATTATTATTATTATTATTATTATGACTATCATTATCATTATCACTATGATGATTATTATTTTTTCCAAATTCTTTTTTGAACTTTTGTGATAATATACATGATTTTGCTGTGGATTACTCGTATCTGCCGTTAAGCCAATCACATAAATAAGTATTCTACCTTGTCATCATTCAGTGTTTTTATACTTTACCCAGAAGAACCGGTTACACTGAATTTTTGCTCCAGTTCGACGAGCAACACCCTCAATCAGCTTACTTGCCATAAACGCATATGGACAAACGATATCCTAGTAGAATACAACTTCTTTCATCCCCGGCAGCCGCTTGAGATTTGTCCGGTTCTGTTCAGTTGACACTCTTCCTTTGCTGCTACGACTGTTACCGCATGCCATTTGTCCGAGGTGTGCTACTAAAACAGTTCATGCGTCATGTATGTGAACATGAACCCTGACAAGCGCGAGTTCACTCGGAGGGAAATGTTTTCTCGGTACAGCTCCCTTTGTAGTGGAATATTAATTCCACGGGGATCAGTATCTTGTTACATGTGCTTTCGGCAACTTCATGGGAGGATAAGGTAACATCACTGTGTCATGACCTCCAGAATTGATACCTATATTCCCGCGAAAGGGGCGAGATTTAGGACTCCACGGACTTCCCGGGAAGAAATGAAACTGCCTGATTCGACGCATCTAGCCACAAATCAAACGACAACAGATGTTTAAGAACGCGATTATAAACGATAGCACAGCGGGTACATTATCAGTACTTCGCGTGCAAGTTCTTGAGCACACCGGTCGACGCTGGCATCTTGCGCGTTTCCTGCGTGGTTTGAAAAAGGAATGACATGCTTAAAAATTGATAAGCGATTGGCCCATTTCGCAGATCCCCAATTTAAGGAGGATATAAGCGACAGATCTCGTCACAACTGCATAACTAGCTCAAAACTGAAAATGGGTGATTAAGATCCATTGCACATGGCCACAGACAGTCAGGAAGATTCTCAGAGAGAGTTTGACATTCCCCATTGGTTGAGCTACGTCGTTCTGTTTTCCACGAGTTCATCATTTTTCTTCTCGCTGGTCTCCAACTCTAACCCGTTCTTGACAAGCAACACTGGGTATGCGCACGGAGGTGATATGTACTCGCATCAAGTCGAAGCACTTTACTTGAAAGAACTTCTTCAAAGTGGAACAACTGATCTTTGGTTCGATGAATTAACACTGGGCTACCCTTTATTTCTTGCCTATCACCCACTTCCGTGTCTGCTTAATGCCAGTCTCATGATCTTAGCAGAATCGTAAGTAAAACTCTGCTTTAATTCAATCGGTCAAGTAGAGAGTTTCAGGGGGCGAGTGGGATAACAACACGGAAAAAAAATCCCCAAAAAAGGAAAAAACAGACGATACATTGAAATAAGTGATATTCTTTTACTGGTCTTGTAGTTTTCAAGGAATGACAAAACGGTTTTATTGTCAAAAAAATTGCAAAGTCTTTCCTTAAAGTTTCGGTGCCCATGAGATTACGTCCATTTTATAATTTAAATAAATTCTTATTCAGTGTTACGTAACTAATGTAACTTACGTAAATTAAGTTGTTCCCTTGACCGGCAACTCATTACTTGGACATTTTCCTTTCAATTCATATAAAGAGACTGTATAAAGTCGCTTACTAAACGGCAAACCAAAAGAAATCACTGAAGTTTATTGTTTTAAGGAATGGCAACAACTCTGAAATGGTGAGAGTTGTTCAAGGTCACTTGTTAAAAATCCTGATAGTCACATTTACTTTATTATGTTTTGAAAAACACAGGGATGTTTTTCTTCAAATTTCACTTGGGAAATCATTCTGTTGGGCTTAATTCCTTTGAAGCGATTATCATTTAATCCGTGCAGTGGCAATGCCATGCACGTGGAAAGATTTTCAGTCAGTTAAAAAGCCTGGTAAGGATAATCTTTGCGAGAAGAATTCAACAGGGTGGTAAAATGTATCACACCTTGGATAGAAAGGACATTTGTTTAGCTTATGAGGAAGTGAAAATAGTTCCTTGACAAACAACTTTGCTCTGGGGACGCAAAGCTGTTATTGTTGTAAAACTAACAGTTTATTTTGTTGACTGACTGGAGGAGTTCATCTTAGCTTACAATTTTGTTTGAAGATTAAAGAAAACTAGTCAAACGAACTAGCTGTGAAAAAATGCCACGATAGCCTGAAATAATCACATCTTGAAGTATATGGGTCGAAGGAATTATATTCTGATGATCGCAATATCTGTATATCTCAGTAATCTGTTGAGCAGAAGCTTTATTTGTTAGAATTTTTGGAACCCCATTAAGTAAAAGACCTCTTACACTGGCAAGGGCCATGATTAGTTACATACAAGGAATTGCAGAAAACAATGGCACTTCTTATTGCTTGTCTTCGTTGTCGGATATTGGTCCCTTTTAATGTTGGTCAGTTTTTGTTATCAGGTGGTCTAAATTGCTTGTAATGATTTTTGACTTTCTAAAATACTAATGTCAGCTGCGCTTTTATGTGAGGTTTTCCTGTATTCAAAACAGGTTGAGACAAAAGTAAATGTAGGAAAATCAACTTGTGCAAATTGGGTAAAATGTTACTTCCCAGAATCACGTTTTTATGCTATAACAAATAGGAAAAACTTTGGGCAACTCACCCAGTTTAGTCCGATGGAAGTCAATTCCAAGTGGTCCCTAATTGCTCGTCCTAATCTATAATAGAAGCTTGATAATTCCCGTAACACTTGACTGTAAATGTAAGCTGTGTGCTGCTGATACTAGTCAAACCATGGTGGCATCCATGAAGTCCAAACACGTGCACACCATTAAACTGAACTGTTTAACGGCTGGTGATTTCCACCTTTCCTGTCGTTACTCATTATTTTCTAGTAAACTTGAACTACGTAGTGGGGTTTTTAACTACCACATACTTACAACTTAGAATATACAAGAAAGGACATAAACTTTCGTGTTCTAGTTTGACGGTGAAGTTTCTGTGTGGGCAATAAATGTGAACGTTGATATTGCGTTTAATCTGTACGTCTCATTGTGACAGAGTGGTCCAGCTAAACGACAAGGTGATTGTTTTAAAACGATCTAATGATTTGTTTTTTTGTAAAAAAGAAGTAAACCTTAGCTTGAAATCACCTGAAACAGCACTTTTAAAATAGTTTCTGAAGTCTTAAGAAACTACATAGGCCTCCATCTTTGAGCATCTTTAGTTTTTCCGGATTCAACACAGATACGTGCTATTTCAGTTAAAAGAACAAAGGTTCATTACAAGTTTAATGTGCATCTCAACTAGAACTTTGAACTAATGCGTGTGAAAGATTTTAATGGCAGACCCAAGTAGCACTTTCATTTAAAACTATTAAAGCAAATCAAGACAAACTCAAATTGGAGCCCTTTTCTCGTGTCGTGAGAAACGCGCTTGATATTTTTACTTGAACTTTGCAGCATAATGCCCACGCGAAGCAATGTTTGAATGGGTGCGTGTAAGGTCAACAGCGGCTCAAAATTAAAATTCCCAATATTACAGTGGCTCATTTTCAACCTGTATCTCAACCGAAATGTTAGGAGCTTTCAACATATATGTGTGTGAAAAACTGAAAAAAAAAACATAGAAACTAGATAGATGAGTTCAATGAAATGATGATACCGTGACTGTTTTTCTGTGAAAAACACGAGTAACATAAACCCACAAATTGCTCACAGAAAAACATGTACTAAATCTGAAATTTGTAGTAATTACCGTTAGACTTCTTTACTGCTTTTTTGAAAACTCTAAACTGTGTTATATTCAACTATTTAGGCATTTAGATTTTTCCATTTAGTAATATCTAAACCAAAAAGTGTTTTTGAGAATTAACTTCGGTTCGACAGTCAAGCTTTCAAAGCTTGTAGCGATGGCTCTGTTTTTCGTTTCCCTTTTTGTTGAAGGAAATGTAATCTTCAAGATTTGCAGTAAAGTAAACTTTTGATAAATTTTAATAATTGCAGTAAGGCGAGGTAATCTTTACGGAGATAGAAAGTTGGAAAATTTAGAGTTTAGTAAGCCCGGTCTCACATGGAGTGTCACAATGATTCCCCGCGATTACGGACATGATCGAGTTTGTGAGAAAGATGCTTGTTTCGAATTCCAAACAAGACAAGCGTACTCTAGTAATTTATTATGGACTCACAAGAAATTTGTGCTCGGTACAAAAAGCTTTTATAGAACACTTCCAATGCAAACGTGCGCGTGTTTATGCCCATTAATTGACCTGTTTCACCTGGCGACGATTGATAAAGCGTGGGATCTCCGTAAAAGATCATCAAAGAGAAAAACTCCGAGATGTTTGTGTGGTGTAAGCACTCTCATATACCATATACTAATATTTGACGGCCGGCGTTAGTTCTTAACAACCATGTCCAACACTAATCTCCGATTCGTTGAAGGCTTTCTTGAGGGAGGAACACGATAGACTACTTGAGTATGGCAAGCACAGATTTCAGTAGGATTTGATAGACGATTAATATCATAGGTCATCATAAACATACACGATGACTAAAAGAGTGCCTACTATGCTTCGTTGTGGAATTCCAGACAAGAACGGTGCCCCGCACTCATCCTTCCATTAAAAGACGTTGAAAATGACCAGTACTGAGGTAATAAGTCAACAGCGAGGGAGGAGAACTGGTTATACCAACTCTTTCTTACTATAAAATGACGTGGTTGTGTGAACTGAATCGATCGAAAGCTTGGCCGATGTACATCAAACAAATACTACATCAGTAGTTTGTCTGTTGACCAGTACCCTTATCTCACAAGTGCAAAAGAAGGGTTAGTTGCGATGTGCAGGAGAAGCGAGGACGCCAAGGCAGTGTGAGTTGAGTTCTATAAACGCGGAAATTGATTGTTGTCCAACTTTACTTGGGATTTTACCAAAAGACCTGTCGGAGAGATGGAACGATAGTTGAAGACTTGTTCCTTTTCGCCTCTTTTGAAAACGGGAATGTTCTATGTGAGCAGATTGAAGAGGATAAAATTTCGCCATATATATTATTGCAGTGGCTTCGTGCATGAGGAGATATATGGTCTGATATGCTACGGGACCATGGGCTCCCAGTCCAAAAATGTTTTTAGTAAATCAAACCACTGAGCAATTCGTCTACACCCTAAGAACGAACCAGGACTAGAGGTGTCGTTTGTCTGTAAGGTTGTAGGCCATCTTAATGAAACTGCTGTTAGGAACTTATTTAATAGCTGAGCCTTGTCGAAGCCACAGTTAACTTTTCGGCGCTGTTGAGCGACTAGCCCGCCTACAGACGTCCCTTGTTTCCTTTGTGTGTTGTTGCATGTGCATTATCGACCGTCAGTGTTTTTTCCAGTAGCTTTTCGTGAGCTCGTGTTTGCTTTGCTTCTAATCAAGTTGAACTCGCTAGTTTACAGGCCGCCTATGCTTGTTAATTGGCAGATTTGAAACTGTTAATCGAATTTTCACTGAACTGTAAGAGAGCGTAAATAGCAATGCGTTGGAAGCAAAACTAAACGTAAATTAGCATCTATTTGTTGCTTGCATGGTAGGTAAGTGCTCTGTTTGTTACATTTTGGTAACCCAACGGTTTAATTATGAGAAACTTTTCATATATTAGAATATTGATACAATATCCTGTGAGGAAAAACACACTGACATATTGTAAAAGGACAAAAATTGAAATATGTGGTGGCTAACTGACTTTCAGCTGCGCATTTCTATATATATCGATGTTCTTTAGTTTGTCTTGCTCTCAGGGGCTTTGTATTTATGCTTGGTGCAGTAGTTTTTAGCGGAAAATTCGTTTCGTTGAAGCATTAAGTGGATGATAGATCTCCGTCTGACATTTGAATACCAACCTTGTTTCTTGATTTTCTGTATTATTATAGTTGTTGTACAGCAACAAGTAGATAAGGAGTACTGCTGAATGTCATAATGAGACAAAAAAGGGGTAAAAATTGCAATTCCCCAAACGGAATTGAACCTCTAATGTTGTAGATTTTGACTTAGTGAAATCATAGGATTCCAGCTGGTAAATATGGAAGGTCACTAGTTTTATTCCCGCTCCTGACTCAGGATTTCCTTCTTTTCTCATAAGATCTTGACTTTGACCGGACTCTTCTCGATTTATTGAGGCTAAAATAGACTTATATCGGGACTAGGGCAAAAAGAGTCTTCGATCCGGAGTCGCATCCCTGAAGAGCAAACACGTGCATACCATTAAAACTGTTTTACAGCTTATGGTTTCCTCCTTTCTTGTCGTTAACCATTATTAACCACTAACTACGTAGACTCTTGCAGTGCTCCAAACTCAACTTTTACAAAGTTGCCTTTATACGAACTGAAATTATACAATGGTTGTCGGAATGCAATATTTCACGAAGGTTCTGAAATAGTTTCAATGGCTACCTAGCTATCGCAATGGAATTTGGAGTTGCACGCAACATCTCAAGGCAGGCTTCATATCTCGACAACCAGGGCAAAAGAGGCGAATTATGGAGAAACACAGAGTAAATAATATTTCGTGCAAAGTTTTAGCTTACTTTAACTTAAGAAAGACCACAAACACTAACTAATTCACTACAGCTTGGCACATGACTACCGAACAAAGGTCACCAAATCGGCGACTTTCAATGTAATTTTAGTTAATAGATTACAATTACAATTTAGGATATACGAAAAAGGACATTGAATTTCAGTTCGCGTTATTGAAGATGAATTTTCTGTCTCGGAAATAGATATGGAATTTAGTATTGCGTGTAATCAGTACTTCTCTTTCGTGAGAATGAGTGGTCAAACTAAACGGCAAGGTCACTGTTTTGAAACGAAATAATACTTTGTTGTTTTAAAAATGTTAACCTTAGATTTAAGCTAAGGTTAACATTTTAAAAAATCCCTGGAAATAGCGCTTAATGGTTTTCTGAACTGCAGTCTTCACAAACTGCATGGGCCTCCATTTTTGAAAATATTTACTTTTTCCGGATTTAATATGGACTGAGATACGTGGTACTAATATAGCAGAACAAACGCTCATTGTTAATCTGGATCTCAACTAGAACTTTGAACTAATGCGTGTGAAAGAATCTAATGACCGTACAAGTAGTTTTTAATTCTTAAAAGAATCAAAGCAAATCTATAGAGACTCCAAACGGAAGCCCTTTTCCTGTGTCATGAGAAACCTCCTTTATTGCTTACTTGACGTACTTGAATTTCTATGCAATATGAATACGTGCGTCTTAGGTCAACAGTGGCTTAAAACTGAAATTCTTGGTACGGTATTTAACGACTTATTGGCGTCTTTTGATCTGAAACAATGGGTAACTACGCCTACTCACGCCAGTGGACATACTTTGGATCTTATTATTACTAGAAATCAGTGTGGAGTTTTAGGAGACATTAGGGTTGTGGACCCTACGATCTCTGATCATTGTACTATTTTTATGAGTTTGTTAGTGCATAAGCCTCATCTTCAAAGAAACACTATTCGCTATAGGAAGCTGCGCACGATTGATTATGAAGAATTTAATATTACTCGTGGAAAGTCTCCCTTATTTGATGAAGATCTTGATTCGATGGTTGATTTAAATCATTCTGTTTTGAAATTTACTCTTAATGCCTACGCTCCTGAAAAGAAGCATCTCGTAGTTCACCGTCCATGTGCGCCCTGGTACTCTGATGAGTTTAGTGTACAAAAGAATATTAAGAGGAAGCTTGAACGCAAATGGCAATCTTCAAAATTACCTGCAGGCAGAGAACGTTATGTTTTCCAGAACTGTGTTGTTAACAACATGATTGTCTCAGCTAAGCAGGATTATTATTCAACCAAGATACAGGAGAACTCTGGGAACACTGGAATTCTTTTCAAGACAGTAGAGAAACTTCTAAACTCCAACCTCGCCCAACGTTTTAGATCTGGCACTGACAATTTTTCTGAATCATTTGTAGATTTCTTTGCCAACAAAATTGTCAGTATTCGCAATTATGTTGACACGTTTTCTCGAATTCCGAATGACAGCCCTGTAACACCCTGTAGTACTAAAACCGAGTCCTGTTTTACCTGTCTGTTTTTTAGTGAATTCAGGCTGGTTGATGAGGAAGCGATCTCTGGTTATGTAAACAACCTGTGCACAAAGTCCTGTGCACTTGATCCTATTCCATCGTCTGTGTTTCAACGGTGTCAGCATCGACTAGTTCCGATAATAATTCGTATTGTTAACTTGACGCTTTAAGGTGGCCAAGTACCCGATAGATTCAAAGTGGGCGTGATTAAGCCATTGTTAAAAAAGAGCGGTGCTGATCATGAGAACTTTTCAAATTTTCGGCCAGCATCGAATTTGTATTTTCTATGTAAAGTCACAGAGAAAGCAGTTGCAGCACAATTATGTGATCACCTTAATGGTAACGGGGGTTTCCTTGAAGAATTTCAATCAGCGTATAAATGTTATCACAGTACTGAAACCGCACTTGTCAGAGTCCATAATGACATTTTGAAAGCTGTTGACGACAAAAAATCTGTTATTATACTATTGCTTGACTTATCGGCTGCATTTGATACTGTCGATCACACGATCTTGGTATCAAGACTGGCGAATCGTTTCGGCATTAGAGATACTGCTCTTAATTGGTTTCGTTCATATCTTCGGTTACGTAAGCAGAGCTAAGCAGTTTGTTTCTGTTAATGGTATTGATTCGTCACTTAAAGATGTACAATACGGAGTACCGCAAGAATCCGTGTTAGGTCCTTTACTATGTTCACTTTACACAAGTCCATTGGGTGATATAGCCAGAAAGCATGGCATACCATTTCATCTGTATGCAGATGATACACAGGTATATCTCTTGTTTACGTCTAACTGCCCCAACCATACATCCAACGAGAAGGAGACGGCTGAGCTGTGTGTTAAAGATATTGGCGACTGGATGCTGTGTAATAAACTTAAGCTGAATCAAGATAAGACGGAACTTTTAGTTGTTAGTTAAAGATATCAACCACGTCCTCCCCTCAACCACATCTAAATCGGAGATGATGTTATCGGTCCCTGTGAACATGCTAGGAATCTAGGAGTTGGATTTGATCATTATTTCGATTTTAGTGAGCAGGTTAAAATGACCTGGAAGATCGCGTTTTTCTACATTTGCGGTATTACCAAAATTAGGCGATATTTATCCCATAACACTGCCAAAACAATTGTTCATGCTTACGTAACCTCGCGTTTAGATTACTGTTATGCCCTGTACCATGGTCTTCCAAAGCACCTGATTGATAGACTTCAACTTGGGCAGAATTCAGCAGCTAGCCTTGTTAGCGCGTCGAGAAAGCATGATCATATTACACCGATTCTTAGGCGTTTACACTGGCTCCCTGTGCGCTATAGAATATTATTTTTAAAATATTGTTACTGACTTATAAGGCTCTAATCGGTCAAGCACCTAGCTACATCTGCTGAAGTATAGGAACTCGGGCCGCGTTTTACGATCTTCAAACAAGCATTTGCTTGATGAGCCCGTGGCTGCATATAAATCTTTGTAATAAAGGCCTGGGTCGTAAACGTTTCGATCCAAGCCAATTTTAGAAGGATTTGTATGGAGTCAACAGAGCATAAAGGTGCTTATATCTCCCCGCCAATTTGCACAAGAAGGTTGATTTTAGGCAAGGGTTTTTTTTTTATCTTGTTCTTTCTAAATATGCTATCCAATCTCATAATTTCACAAATTTGAATTTTTGTGACGTCACAATTCCCTTCTCTATGGTAGTCTTTGATATTTGAGGCATGGGCCACTTTTAGTTAGATATTGTCCGATGACGGACACCGACTTTTATTTGTAGCCCTGTATACAGTTGTGAGAGGAAAGCACTAAAAGGTAAAATTCTCCCCAAGGAAACTACATTATGGAACATGTATGCAAATCAAAATGGGAGAGGGGACCTTGTGGTCGCGTGAAGGACTTATTTTGGGAGGTCACAAACAGATAACCTTCAACAGTTTTTAACTCGAGACTTGAAAACGGCAGGACAAGCCTTCCTATTAGATGCAGCTCCGAAACGTCTTTTAAGAGTTAAAACACCCTCAAAATGTGAAACCTAGAGCAAATTTATAAGGCGGAATTAAGTTACATTAATTGTGAAAAAGTGGTAAGAGTGAGATATTTGGCTATGCTTTTGCGTGACCACCTTGTTCATTTTCGCGCGAACGATTGTCAAGCACACGATAAATGAGATACTTGCTCCTCTTTCTGAAGGCTTATCTTTACTTTTTAAAGGTTTATCTCGCCTTTGCTGTTGTTCCGTTGGACGTTCGTTCTTCTTCTCTCATCGATGCCCTGGTCATGGTTCATTGGTCTGCGTACATTAAGGATGACCCGTCTCGAGGCGACGTTAGCAGCCCTCTTTGTGCACTCAATTCACAGCTGGCGTAAGTTTGGTTTGGAGTTAGAAGCATTTCACGAGTATGGTCTGTTTACTCAAGCTTACGGAATGGCCATACTTCCTCTCGCAGGTAATCTTTTAATCTCTTTGATCTTTCTGAGAATATTGAGGGTACAGTCAACTCTCTCCAAGGCGAACACCGACCTGCACAAAGTGGCCGTCTTACCCACCTAACCCTCTCTTAACCTAACGTTAACACTAACGTCTAACTTTGGACAAAAGTTTGGATTAGGGGAGGGGCAGATCGGCGCAGAATCCCAGAATCTCATACTAAGACAGCACGGACCAACTCTAGGTGTCTGTTAAGAGAGAGTTGACAGTAGTAGGCCCTCCCTTCCCCCAAATCAAGAAAATGGAAAATGGCGCTTCTCGGCCTTCGCACTGACCGTCATCCTTCTCGCCGCTGTTGCACATTAAACTGGTGCGCAAATTGAGAACCCCCTCTTCCCCAAATCAAGGGTGCGAACATGGCCTTTTTACCTTAGTGGGGCTTCTTCCTACTTGGCGATTGTGCACACTAGAACCGTGCATAAAGTTAGATCTTCCTTTAAAATATGTTATCATGTTGTGTTCTGTAGACTACTAGACTTCGCTATCAAGTAACAACTGTATTATGCGCTGCATGTACCCCACGTTAACTGTTAAGGGCGAGAAAAAAGCGCGGCGAGAAAACGAGCTAGTTTGAGCTTTTAATTGTGAATGGTTGAGGAGGTGGCGCGAAATATTTTAGCCAATAATAACGCTTAGGATCTATCCAATCACAAGACGTAGAAAAAAGGATAAACGTATTGCATTATACAGCCAATTACTGATTTAAAAGTGTGCAAATAGTAGGTAACGGCTTGCTGTAGTTCTCTTTTGATTGCTTGGCTGAGTTATAGGTTTTTACCTTGTTTCTTTACTACCTACAAAAAGGTTTCGGAAAATGCGGTTAGAAAGTAAATGGAACATGACTGTTCGGGACGTTTCGGTGTAAAACTTCCGGGAACAACGGAAAGTCTGAAATGGTAGTCCTGTTTTCCCGGTCGGAATGTTCCAAACGGAAATTCGTGTTCCGTTTCTTCAAAGCCCGTCTTTGATACCAGTTTCAGCCTTTCGCGGCCGTTTTTCGGTAAATGTAACTGATTAGTGCAAATGGTGAACACAATTCCGGGACAAAATTTTCCAGTCTTTAATTTGAATTGATTTCAAGCCGTGAACCGACCGTCACGCAGTTTGCCCATGTAAATGGTAAACAACCATCGAGTATCGTTGCAAAACACAGAGTAGACAGAGGAAATATATAAATATTGCAGGCCACCTTCCTATTTGCAGCTTTAAAACGCTCCAAGTCTTGAAAATGTGAGACTTAGAACAAGTCTTTCTGGCAAATGTGAGATATTTGGCTAACGTTTTGGAAGACCCATGTTTGAAAAGATAAGGAAAGCACCTTATCGGAGATGGGGTCCTAATTCCTACAGAAGTGGTGGGGGGAAGTTGATAAAATATCAAGCAAATTTATCTTGTGTGATCATGTCTGTAATTCTCATGACAGTCTGTTTTACAAAGCATTGATATTACAAGGAGAAATTTTATGCTGATCACTCCTAGGGCTTAAAGGGTTAAATTGGGTATCGTGGAGTATTGTAAGTGGTAAACAAAGGAAATGAATGTACTTAACTTGTTACCATTGGTATGTTTATTGGGTGTCTTCCCGCATCTGACATGTGCCTTTACATCCTTATATGCAGCAGTTTTTTTCCCATGGCTCGGCGCAGTTCTCTCGGGACTGTTTTTCCCTGGAAAACATTAATTCTTAACATTATTTTCCTACTGTTTGTTTCTCTTTAGTTGGATTTTTATATCAATATGTACTCTACAACAGTGGTTCAAGAAACGGTACGATCCTTCTCGTCGTCTTCAACTTCACCGCGAATGCATTCTTTGGTGTCTACCTCGGCATTGTTACTGGAGTTACTCTGCTAATAGACATGCTTTCAAACACTAACCCACTTAGAGGAAGGCTCTTCTCGCCTTCAATCTGGCGAGCTTTTTACGTGCATTTTCTAAGTGTCGCATTGCTCTCTTGGTGGATAATTCCGTTACTTAATAACTTTGACTACATGGGCGGGCTTCCGTGGAAGGGTGAAAATGAGCATGGCCACAGTGTTGAGTTTGTCCTCAGAAGTCTTTTGTCTGGCGATTTGTTTGACCACGAAAGGAAAATTCCATTCATCACATTGGGATTTTTTGCTGGGCTTGGCTGTGTTTGTTCCACGCAAGTTAAAGACATTGGTCACCTCACAAAACGGCAAACACTTTTGATTTGGCTTGTGTTATTATTTTCTGTCACCTTCTTTTTGTTTCTTGGCAGAACATTTTCTGGGCCGTTATACAACTTGATTCCTTTTCACAAAGAGCTCGAAGTTTTTCGCTACATAATTGGACTCCAATTTTGCGGATTATTGCTCATGGCCGTGACATTAGCTCGCATTCTTTACTTTCTTTGCGTGTCTTTGTGCAGAATGTCAAAGGCATATTTTCAAAGCAAAAATGTCTTGATTGTTCTTATGTTAGTATTTCCGCCTATTTATCTCAGTTCTCAGCTTCAATATATCAATGCATGTTTCTCCATGATTGAGATAGAAGGGTTTTCTGACGGACTGGAGAAACTGAAGGCATACCCGAAAAACGGACGCTTGCTTGCATCGAGATTTTTAGGTGAGTTCACTTTCTTGGCAAGTTGTTTCGCAAAGAGAATCTCTTTTAAGAGGGTCCGAAAAAACTGGACTCGTAACACATTTGCAGCCTCCCGCGAAGGAAAGACGCCGTGAGATTCTAGTTATGGAAATGGCACCTTAATGCGCGGCGTCGACTTGGATGCAGTTTGTCTCCACCACCCCCATATTCCTTCTGCACGTTAATCTTTTTCTCTTGAAACATATTTTTATAGGTGAAGTTCGCCTTAAGTGACAAAACTCATCGAGAGGGCCCACGTCGAAAATATTATTTATTAAAAAAAATACATTAAATAGTGGTTTGTCAAAAAGGGCAGTAAAAAAAAAAGAAGATAAAAGGAATGCAAACGGGTGCAACGCACGTTTTTCTGTGAAATCTTATCGATTCAGATATAAAAGACTGGATATGAAGAGATAAAATGATTGTCAATAAGAGTTACTTCATCAGTAACATCTATCCCGGCTTGCCAACGTTTCGCGACTGAATAAAACAGCCTGCAGTCTACAGAATCAGGGTATATTGGCATTTTACTACTGCTAGAGTGGTTGTTTGCAAACAAATCCGCGTCAATATTTGTCTTTTTGACCTATGCTTATTTACTGTGTACACAGAAAGTCAACTTAACTTATGAGAACTAAAGACAAATGTATGTAGCCAGGGCGAGGCGTGCGAAAAAATGTCCATGTAAGTCACATGTGGTAAAATAGTGACTGGTGCCACTGGCATCCAAAGCGCAAAGCGGCGAGTGGGAAAGGGGAGCACTTCGCCCAGTAGCCAGTCAGGGTTGAGTATTTGCAACTCGTGACCGATTTCATTCAATCAGGGCTTGAGAACATTTTAGTGTCGTCAGTGACTTGTACGAGAAACTCATAAGGGGTTGAAACGTGTAACTCTCATATGTTTGCTTTGTTCGATGCTCGTGATTATTCATTTTGAAAAGTACCATATTTGGAACGAGAAGAAGAAATAACTAACCAATCAAACTTTGTAAACAACGTGACGTAATTTTTCTTTCCGTTCCCGCGCCCGCTTAAAAAAATGGCCGACAAACGGGAGAAAAACTCCCGAAAGCCGAGAAAGCTTTCAAAGGTTGAAACCAGGAATATTACCGAACTGCTGAGCAGGATATTATTGCCTTACCACCCGGGCCAAACGTAACATTATGAAACCCATTGACGTCCTCGCAACTTCTTGAACTTGTCACTTCAAAAAACGATGCCTCGTTGACAGTAAACTTATACTGCAATTCTTATATTACTAGTCTAGAATAAACAGTAAAAACTATTTTCGAATAAGATTCATTAGCTGCGTATAGAAAAGTGTTCAAAACCTGAACCTGACATCTTCGCAAAAAGTGATGCGTGTAAGTAATGTGAGAAACTCATTCTTGTCACTTTAAGCTTAAATTCAGCTTGGATGTGGTCACGATCGTGTTTTGAGCTAATTTCATGAATGAACAAAGTCAAAACAAATAGACAGGGAAGCCGTTTCTTGAAAATTTTTTACTCAAAATCCAAAAAGTTAATCCGTTAAAGAAATTCGGGAAACACTATCTGGATCGTGGATCCGTTAACGCAAGTGACATCGGCTAAGCACATGGCAAAATTCAACACAAAATCCATCTCAAATCGGGGCACATTTTGTAATTTTTCTTTAGCGCCGAAGAGAAAAATTTATAAAACGTCTATGAAACATTTAAAAATACAAAAATTTCCTTCCAAAAACGTAATTGTCTTGGCCATAGAGTGCAAAATGTACCTGAAAATTCAGCAAAAACTTCACTGCCTTGGTTGCATTTCAAAACAGACCATGCGCTCCGTCCTGAAGAAAACAAGGTTGAATTCCTCGAAGGACGATTTCTTGATGAAAAGCTTCCCTTCCTCCACAAAAAGAAAGCTGAGCATTCTTTTGAACTTTCTCTTTCCATTTTTTGTCTGTTAACGGTGTATTTTTAACCTTGAAATGCAAAACTCTTGTCTTAAAACATCTGCATGGTGATCGCGCGGCAGCCATTTGTTTAAAATGGATATCTGTCACTAAGGTTTCCAAATATGGTAAATTGAATATTTACGAGCATTGAACGCGAGTTACACTTTTCAACCCCTTATGAGTTTCTGCTTGTACTACATTAGTCACTCTGGCGTCACCGAAATTTTCTCGCACACTCATTGGACGAAATCGTTCACGTGCTCCAAATACTCAATGCTGATTGGCTACTGGGAGAAGTGGCCACTTTCCTTCTCAGGCAGACAAGAGCCACCTTCACACTAGGAAGTTTTCCAAGACAAACGAGACTTGCTCGTGTAAATTTAAAAGCTTGAAACTGGGGTTAAACGTTTTACTCTCTTTGTTTGTTTGTTCTTTACAGGGTTAAGTGGCGCTTGGGACTTGTCTCTTATACCGCACCTCAGCAAAAAGTCCGGTAAAGTCGAAGAATTATTATTTCTTTTGTAGTAATGTGTGTAAACGCTTTTATCCTGGAGTTCGACCGTGAATTTTTTGTTTGTTGTAGCTTGAATATGATAAGCCTTTGAATAAAGGCTGTTGAACAGTTCTCTCTTTAGCTGATCATTTCTGCGGCTGTACAAGGTGTTCCTAACTTATTAGTCAGCGAATATGTTTCTGAATGGTTTAGGCGAATCTTTGCAGACGTCATTGTTTACATTTTTGCTCATTAACATACGTATTAATCCATAGAAAGCGTGACCGTATGCACAAATTTAATTCAAAAGTTGAAAGAGTTAATTTGAGCAATTTCTGCAATTTTAAACCCTTTGCAAGCAATTACAAAGGAAGTAACAGTAATCGAAAACTGCGAAATTGCCGGGTGGCAAAAACGTTAATGAGCCCATACATTGTTTGTGTTTATTTTCGAAGTTTTCAAAGATGATTTCTCCGAGGGTTCTTACAATATTCAGAGAGTTTGTTTTAATAGCTTGATCAGAGAATGAAGGGCATGATATGTTAATAAGTCAAAAACCAAAGATTCGCCTATAACAATGTACAATGAGGCTCTTTAACTGTGAATCTGTGCTTGAAAACCTGTAGTCTGAGAGCTGGTTTTTTTTTAAAGCATTTTATTACACAAGGTGATTTTATTTTTTATTCTGGAGTTGACATCGTGCAAATCAAAACTACGCAGTAGCAATTCGATGCATATTAGTGATGATGATTGTTCCGTTCTCAACAAAACAAACTTCTGATGACAAAACTCGCTACGCTACGCTACACATCCGAAGCTTTGTTAAACTCAGCTTCTTGTATGGCTAGTTACGCCAGCGGGCAACATAAAGCGGCGAATTCTTTCTCCTGATTGGTTATCCGAGCGGGAACGATGAGCCTGTCTTGCCCACACGGGATCTTACATTTCAAATGCGCACGAAAAACGTACTCCTGGCCATATCACAAATCCATATCCATGTAATATATCTTATATGTTCGGATGCCTTCGGGGAACTATGGTCGTCTAGATAGTTTGGCCAAGTGGCTATCTCGTCTCATTCGAAACTGTTAGCTACTCTGATGGGTTTGGTCCAAAGTTCGAGGACATTCAGCAGCAGGGGGAGTTTTTTCTTACACTGAAATTTTCAGGAGCAGTAAACGCAATATCTTGATAAAATGTGAAAAACACAACCTTCGAAAATCGTAGGTAAGTTACTATAAATTAAACAGCTCCGAAAAAATTAGAAGAGCGGAACTATTATTCAGACTTTATTAGTCTTTCTCGAGCTTTGATAATTTCTCGGCAATATTTGCTCCTTGGAACGGTTATTTTACAGAAAAAATTCATTGGGTGCCCCTGGCCCATATTTGTGGCATAAGCTTTTTTTTTTTTCAATGTCAATTGTCGTATTGTAGATCCAAAGACCAAATGCTAAGTTTTCTATCCAACGCCCGCAATGTACACAGTTGTTAAAAGTACGGCCATTTTAGGAATTGAACTCCTCATGAGACCTTCGGGGACTCGTAACAGCTGTGCCCAATGTATTTTGGCATAGTAGAAAGCCTAGTTTACCCATTTCATGGGCGGATTTAGGGGTGGTGACCCGAGGGGGGTCGCGACCGCCATTTTCTATAGAATTTTGTATTATTTTTTAAAAATAATTCTCAGGAAAATAAATATTACCTACATACATGTAGCTGGCAATTGTTCCGACCCACCCTCTCTTTTTGGGTGTATGCCCCTGCATCTTGTCAGTGTCTTGTCAGGCTTCACATTCGTTCGTATGGATTTTCATCTAAAGGTAGCGAAGGGAAAAAGGCATTTTAGTCCAGCATATTTAAGAGCATATCAAGCTCCTCCAGTTTAGCATAATTTTGAGCGTATCAGTACCTTCGTCAGTGATCCCGAAAAACATAATAATCGAGTTTTCGAGCATAAGCCGTGAGACCCCTACATTGAGTTTTGATATTTCAATCAGTTTTAACCGCTAAATTTCTTGTGACTATCTCTCGATATCTAGGTCCAACTTAATTCCCAGAATCTAAAGTTTGTCCAAATATATTTCCGGCACGCTTTTTTTTTATTGTCTCCAACTGAATTTCTGGGTGTAGGCACTAACTACGGTGAGTATTTGGGGATATTTTAGCTATTCATTAAGCCTTTCACTCCCAATATTCTCCCAGAATGAATGATGGCGTCCTGCAATGTGGTTTTAAGTTTTGAGTCTGTAGACAAAATTGAATGGTGTAACCATTCACGTTAAACCTCTTTAGCAATAGTTCTATTTGTTTTTCATCACTTTACGAAAATGAAATTTTGACTACAACAGTCGTTCTTAAAAACTCTCTTGCTACCAACCGACAGTTTTCTATTGCCCTTTGTTTTTAGGGGTTGTGACCTATTCAAGAGGCTATCACGATACCTTGTCTCTGTACTACCTGGAAGAGATGAATCCATCCCTGGACTCCACTCCCTGGCTCCCAGATCTCTTGCGTCTTTACAACATCCGCTTCGTCGCTACGTCTGGGATCGAAGTTCCTGGACATTTCTTGCGTCACTGTGAGCTGAGGTACCTGGCCACGATGGGTGCGATGGAGGTATTCGTAAGAGATTCCCAAGAGGATTATGGATATTTTGACTTTACACATGTTCTGGGCGTTGTTTCAGGAGACCTGAAAGGCATGCGATGGGCTGTGTTAAAAACCACTCAGCTTTTTACCAATAGGATACTATTTGCCATAAATCCATCTTCGGAACTTGCGCACAAGGCTTTGTTCAAAATTGTAATTTCAGATCAGAACGCAAACGCTAGTCTCATTCACAGGTTAACATCCTTTGAACAGTTTGAAACAACATGGTATGTTAATGGAAGAAAGGCTTCCGAAGAAAGATTCTTTGCAGATGTGAAATTCGGTCGCAATCCACCACTGCTAATATCAAGAGTCCTTTCCGAGAAAGCGGAGCGAAATTTGTACTCTGCTCAAGTTGAAGTGGTCGAGGAGACTTGGAACCAAGTATGCCATCATTTTTTATCCTCCATTATGTAATGCTTTTGGCCAGGGGGTGGGAGTGGGGTAGGAATTTTTTTGTTCTCCTTCAAGTAAAGTGTAACCATCGTTATGAAAACTAACCCTTAAATTATTTCATGATAATGATTTTACAAGTTCTTTTAGATACCTAAATGACAAATTCCCCTACCCCTTCATATACCTGAATTCTGACCTGAATCCGTAAAAACTTACCCCTTTTTGGGCGAAGTCTCTCTAGTCCAGGCTACATGTACGGCGTATTATAGAGGGTATCTGCCTGGGTTTTAACGTTTCACTGTCTGGTTTAAATCCATTCATCTCACTATCTCAGTTTGTCGGGAAAGCGTATGGCCACCCGCGTCTTATCAAAGACGAAAACGGGAATTATTAAAAAGGAAAATGTTTCTGTGTCCGTCTTGTCTGAGGTATTATGCTTAGATGAATTGTCATGCCCACAAATATGGAATATGGAGAAAGAGAAAGGCGGGGAAAAACAGAAAGCAGGGCGACAGGCCAGCGAAGCTCAACCAGGGAAAGAGCTAGAGCGAGAGAGAAAAAGCAAAGGAAATATTTTTTGTTGGAGGAACAACATGAAATTTTGTAGCGGGGGTGAGAAAATGAGAAATGCTTGCTTCCACCAGGGTAAGAATGAGCGACGTGAAAAACAAAAAAAAAAACAGTGAACAAGAACACGTACAACCTTTCCTCCGGCCATATAACGCGTAACCAGGAAGTTTCTGGAAGTTTCACGTTGTAGTCGTGCAAAACAACGGCAAAAAAAAGTAAAAAAACGTGTGGTGCACGTGCAAATTGTTTCCTTGCAAATAAGACCTATTGCTGTTTTTTTCACCGTTCTCGTTTCCTAGATTGAGCAAAATATAAATGGTATCGACGGCTTCGCTTCTAGCACTGGCTAAATCTACATAACAAAAGTTATTACAAATTCATAGATAAAAATCTATATAAAATATATTAAAAGCCCTAGGCTTGGGTGAAAACTGTTCTATACAATGCTTTAAAATGATAATAATACTTGTCTACTTAATTTTTCCAATCACATTTGTAATTTTTGCCCCGCTAAAATCAGTGAGCCTCATCAATGAATAATACATTTTTTTGTTTTATTCCCCCAGGCGTCATAGCCAAGTATGAATCGTAATATATAGAAATTGGTCTATTTTATCCATCCTCGCCATATTTTGTTGTTGCTGTGTCATTCAAACCTTTTCTCAATATATTTAAACCTTCGCTCAACTTGGTGGCCAGTTCTTGATGTTTGAATTTGCCTAAATTCCGTCACACAGCTTTTTAAAGTCTCTCTAAGTACTTCCCATTAACAGTAAGAAGTGAGAGTTCTTAGTCTTGAACTGCTGTAGTCCAAGCAAAACTCAACCTGACACGGTAACGACGTTGCTAACTTAATCCTATTTTGTTTTAGAACTTGTACAGAACCGAACACCTCCTCATAAAAGTCACTTACCATCCTTATTGGAGATGCTCCTTCCGTTCAACACCTGATGACTCACGTGACCAGTCACGTGGATGGCACTCTCTTACGATACACCACGTGACGCCAAACCTGATGAGCGTAGTTCTGCCTCCCGGAAAGCATGAGGTCATTTGCGAGTATAAAAATCCTTTTTATCAGAAAGTCGGTTTTGGGTTCTTTATTGTGCTTGTTCTTGCCATGATTACAAGGGAACTGCGCACATTTTTGAAATCCGTATAGCATAGATTTGACTGCTTTGTTTTGTTTTGTTGCGGTTACGTTTTTATGACTGGCGGATTTATTATCTGCTGTACAAGTTGGTCGTGTTAGTGACCTTTAGGTGTAGCTAGCCAATAAGGGCTATTAGTAATGCTTCAAAATGGTAATAGGACTGAGTAAAGTACTATTCAGGAAATAATCAGGCTAGTAATTTAAAATCGGCCAAGCGCGTAGCGCGAGGACAATTTGAAATTACCCAGGCCCCAGTTGTTCAAAAGGTGGATAACGCTATCCACCGGATAATTCTGATCACCACTGAATTGTACGACACGAAGACCTATTATCAATTAATTGACCACGACAGAAAATACCATAACATACCATAATACTCTTTGTTGGTCACTCCAAAATTTTGCATAAGCATTGTTTTCAGTTTCTCTTAGGGCCATGCTTATGCAAAATTTTGGAGTGACCAGCAAAGAATATTATGGTATGTTATGGTATTTTCTCTAGTGTTGAATTGTATCAATTACAAAGTGCGAGAATCTCAGGACTGGAATACTTATTGAAGTACAAACTTCTCATTACATCAGCTTACACCTTCCAAAGCAAAAACATGGCTTAAAATTTTGGAATATGGAGCTCAAATTGCATGAACTATTTTCAATACATTTTTTTAAAAAAAATCTGATGTGTCAAAATGAAGCTGGCAAAATTGCCCACTAACGTTTTTTCGTTGGCTTTGATTTGCTAGCATGGACTAATTTGTTAATTCTTATTGGCTGGCAACATTTGATGTTCGATTTTCATTGGCTGTTCAGCTGTCCGATTTGACATGTTCGATCACAAGCATCTAATCGAAAAGCTAAAATGGGACAGTTCTGGTGCTGTCTCAGTCAAATTAAGCAATCGATAAGGGCTACTGAGAACCAGGACTGAGAACCAATCAGATTCACGAATTTTGTTATTGACACAATTAAGTGAGAAATAATATAGGGCACGTTCGATATATTAAAATTCTAACATGACTCTAGGAGGCTTTCTAATCATTTTTCTATATTTGCTTTGGTTTTATTTGTGCTCAAGTCTCTCCTGTGAATTGCGAGACAATGGAGTCGTGAAAAATTTGCAATTTTGACCCTAAAGCCTTGGAATCATGTTAGAATTTTAAATTGAAAACATAAAAAAAAACAAACATGAACTTTATTTATACTCGCATTTCAGAGCAGCTGAAAAGGCTAATATCTTCGAGAAAAAAAAAAAAAAAAAAAAGAAGAGTAATCTATTTTCGTACATAAAATAAATCTATTTAAATACATAAAAATGTATTTACATATATGAAAAATGTTAAATATACCGTTACGTCTGAAAGGAGACTGCTTTCAGGAGTCTTCTAAAACCAGATAATGTAGGCTTAGATCTTACATTAGGTAGGGAGTTCCATTTCTTAGATGCAAAGTAACGAAAAGAGTTGAGGCCGTAAGTAGTAGTGGCAGGTTTACATAGTGATAGAATATTAGTTCTTCTAGAAGAGTACAAAGGCTGACGCAAAGTGAGCATGTCTTTAAGATATTTAGGAAAACTTTCATAGTGCAAACATTTGTTGATAGTGATTGACATATTTTGTATCCTTTGGTTGTATAGAGTTGCTCCTCCTGAATTATGTAGTAGCTGCTGGTAGGACGAAACAATACGCGCGTAGCGCGCGCTTATTAAGAGATTCAAGTTTTTCACAGTTCTAGCAGTACTGCCCCGTCGCGTTTTGCTCTAGCATTTCTTCTCGCGACTCCACCAAATGGAGTGCTTTCTCGCGAACAAACAAATTACTTACCAACTGATTCTTTAACGAACAGTGGATTGTGCTTCAAATCAATGTTTTCTGTTGCCTCTACCTTGGAAAAAATTGAGACTTTTGCGAAACACATTAACTGTTTGATAGTCATCTTTCATTGTAGACAGCATTATGATCCACCTTCCAGCAACCAAAGGAAAGTAAGTATTTAAACGTTAGAAAACTTTGACATAACATTAACGTTCGGAAAATTCTTCCAGAAATGCATGATTTAACTATGACGTTAGGAAACGTCCTATAAAATGTCGGTGAGCTAAAATATTAACGACGTTAGGAAACATTAGAGACTTTAAGATCTAAAGACAAGACGGCAAAGAGAACGTCGCTTAAAAAGTGAATTTGTGTTATTCAGTCTCTATCGCGATTATCCCTACTTGACTGACTTTGTCAAATGTAGCGAAAAACCTCCTGAAATTGAATTCAAAGGGACCATATTCAAGTTCAGAAAGAGAAATAAAACTTCGTCGTTGCTTGTTTACGTTCTCCATAAAACGCGAAATTAGGCATTTTCACGTCGTAGTCGTGCAAAAACTGCAGTTATGAACATAGTGTGATGCACGTGCGAAGTTTGCTTTGCTTACTAAACCTATTGTTTTTTTGAAGTTCTCGTTGCCGTCACGTTGTTGGATCTTTAAGTACCTTTTATCCTAGAAGCGCACACAAAGGAGGTGTTAACAACGACGTTGGATACTCCCATGGACGAAATCGAGGAACCACTTATGTTTATGATTGAACTCCTCAACAAATTTTCTAACTTTTCGTTTCTCTCCCGCTTGAAAATTTCAGTCCTGGATATATCTCCAACTTGATAGCTTGCGTAGCTGGTGAGATTCTTATGCGCGAGGGTACTTTCTTGGCGGCGCGCGCCGCAAGTTTGACGTGTTTTCAATCTTTGCGCGGCTGTGCTTCCAAAACAACACAGCACTTGCAAGCTAATCTGCACTTGTCGCATAATCTCGCCAGCTGCGCAGGCTACAACCTGACGAGGCTGATGGTTCACCATAACGTGAATATAACAGGACGTTGATCATGACAAGACGTGTCAGTGATCGTAGGTTATTAACTAATCAAACGAATGTGACTTTTCTTGAGAAACTGACCTTGACTTGAAAAGTAATTAAGAGAAGGTTATTCAAAGTGTAATAAAGACAATTAACACAAGAAAATGAACTTATTTATTGATATTGATACAAAAAATAACTTATGATGGTGCTAAGAACTCTTGCTGTACAAATGTACAATGGATCGGCCTAAATGCACCGTGAAAAGTCTCTTATACCCAAATTCGTTGTATCGCGCTGCGCGTTTTGCAAACTTCGAAGGCATTTTGGGTTTTTCTGTTCCGTCAATCATCTTAGCGGACCTCTTAGGAAACACATGTTTACATGTGATTGGTGCATTTCGATCCACTTTGTTTGTTTCTGTGTTTCAAGGTTCGCTGCTTGTGATCGCCCTGTTTCAGGCAACGATCGACTAGTTCTCTTCGAAGCTTTTTATGATCTTCCTTATTCTTGTGTCTTGCAAGAATAAAGCAATTTCTTCCTCCCTCAACAAAAATTCCACTCATCATCGCGATTTCCTTCGCTATTCTTGAGCAGTTTAGGGTCATTCTCAATTTTGTTTTTGCGGGCCAAGCTGGGCGAGTGGGCTGCATTGTGATTTGCATTAACTCCACCCCCACTCAAATGATTGACGGAACAGAAAAACCCATTAGAAGTTTGCAAACACGCAGCGCGATACAACGAATTTGGCTATAAAGGTGATAAAGAGCTTTCAAAAATACCTGCTACATACAAGCCACGCAAAACCGTGCAAAAGGCGCATTATATACCAGGACGGTATGAACTCTCTTATGTATGCTTAGTGCTTTTTTGTGCCATAAACCTGGCAAAGGAAAAAACTGATAACTTTCACTTAGCCATTTGCAGGGACGAGGTCTTTTAACTACAGCTATGTTCTTCAGGGTTTACTGTCTTGTTCAAATTATGTGTTATTATTCAGACACTCGAGCTAACTTTAGGTATGAAAGGGAAAACGAAAGAATAATATTCTTTCTTGCTGTGACGTAATTTAAAGAAAAGCGCAAGACTCAGTGGGAAATTGTTCTCTCAAACTCACATTATGTTGCCCTCCATGGCATACACCCTAGTTCGAACAAAAGTCAAAGAAACATATGAGAACATTACGTGACTATATACAACGCGTTGGAATTCAAGTATAAAGACTTTTTAGAGCATGTCTACTGAGTATGGAAGTAGTCTAGTAGTCTCTTGTAAGACTGTTGATGGCGAATGACAGTTCAAGCTTCACAGACGCTATTCAGTCCTAGTTGCGTAAAATCTTAACGCCTGACGTAACAACTAACGTTAGCAGCCCAGTCGAACCCCGTTTTTCACGCCAGACAACAGTAGTTACGTCAGACGTTGGGTCTTACGGCGACTGGCTCCATGAGCGTTCAATAACGTGAAGGGCGACATACACAAATTTTTAAATGAAACTATAAACAACTCATCAGAGAGTTTCAATATTGTACACAAATATTTTACAATCAAACGCTGACAAATGCCTCTTCAGAGAAATTTGAGGACAGATAAAAGGCCTGGACGTCACTGCTTAAAATTGCTCGGTACCAGCTTCCAAGAGTTGGACGCGTCTCCTATATCCAACACTATGGCAACACCAGCTAGAACCCAGTGCTCCGCGGTCTTGGAACATTTCATCGGTAAAGTGAACGAACAAAACTGTCGAGCCTGTGAAATGACCAAGAAAATATCACAAATACGATTTGATTCGGTTCTAATTACATACTTGACAATCACCAACTGTTAAGCTTGACACTGAAGAAACTGCGTCCACCTACACCAGTTCAAAGCACACGACATAATAAACCAGACACAAACAATAATTAGAGCCACCATTAACGGGATATACTCAGCAGTAAAGGGATAACTCTACACCAAAGTTCCCTTCGAGCCACGGTGGGAAAGGCCGGTAGAACTTCAACTTGAAGTATCTTAAACCAAGAGCCCCTTACTGACGCCCTTCATATCACTTTTTTTCGTTGTACACCAACAACATTAAAAGGGAAACCCATTAGTAGAGAAGGAACTAAAAAAAATCCACCTTCTATCAAGCTCAAAACAGCGCTTTGGAGCCTTAAGTCTAGATA